TCATGCACTCGAATCTAAAAAATACTCTATTGGGGTTTTTATAGATCTTTGCAAGGCTTTTGACTCTNTAGATCACAGTATTTTATTGTACAAGTTATATTCATTTGGTATTCGTGGTTTAGCTTTTAATTGGTTCTCTTCATATTTTCAATTTGTTTCTATTGGTAGTTCCATGTCTTCGTTGTCTCATATTAAATCGGGTGTTCCTCAAGGTTCTATTTTGGGCCCTTTACTTTTTAATATTTATATTAATGATTTTGTTTACTCTTCTAACATTGTAAAATTTATTTTATTTGCTGATGACACTACTCTTCTCTATTCTCACTCGGATTTTAATGTACTTGTTTCGGTAATTAATTACGAATTAAATTTTGTTTACGATTGGGTTGTTTCAAATAATCTACGTATCAATTTAAGTAAAACATGTTTTATATTATTTGGTCCTAAAATTAGAACAGATATTGTTTATCCAGTTATATATTTAAATAATATTACTATTGAAAGGGTTGAGTCATTTAAATTTTTGGGAGTTATTTTGTCCTCTAACTTATCTTGGTTGAATCATATCAAACATATCTCCTGTAAACTCTCTAAAAACTTGGATTTTATTTATCGATTGAGGTTTAAATTTCCTAGATTTATTTTAACAACTTTATATAACTATATTCTTCCATATTTAACTTATTGTGTTTCTGTTTGGGGTGGTACTTCTAAATCAAACCTTCATATTTTAACTCTAGCTCAAACTTTTTTCTTCGCATTCTGTTTAAATTAAAGAGATTTGACTATGTAAGTTCATACTATAAAACAGCAAATATCCTTACCATAAACCAACTACATATTATTTTTCTATTACTATCTTTTTTTAAAATATATAAATTAAATTATTGTCAATCTCTTAAAGATCAGATTAATTTATTTAAAAATACTAGACAAAATTGTTTACGTTCTAATTCTGAATTTTGCTTTTTGAAACCTAGAACAAATTTTTTCCTCAACTCCGTCTTATATATCTCTATGC